AATTTTGCAAGAAATCCATACTTTAGAAAATATTCTCAAAGGTTAGCCAATGGAAATCTTCATGGGTATGTTCCTCCTACTTTTGAGAGACTTCGAACAACTTTACTAGTCCAAATGAGAGCACATGTTGATAAGTTACTAAAACCGATCAGAGATAATTGGGTCAAAAAAGGTGCATCAATATGTTCAGATGGTTGGCAAGATCATCACTCAAAGCCTTTGGTGAACATCATGATAGCTTATGCTGCCGGTCCGATGTTCCAGAAAGCAATTGATGCTACTGAGGTGCTTAGTAAAGATGCTGAATATTTGGCAGGTGTGTTTACTGAAGTAATAGAAGACATTGGTGAAAGTAAAGTTGTGCAGGTCATAACTGATAATGCATCTAATTATAAAGCTGCTGGAGCAATAACTGAAAGAAAATTTTCTAACATTTTTTGGACACCTTGTGTTGTTCATTGTTTGAATTTGGTTCTCAAATCCATATGTGAACCTAATGAGAGAGCTTCTCACTATATTGAATGTCAGTGGATATCACAGTTGGTGCATCAAGTGAATGAAATCAACTATTTCATCCTAAATCATGATTTATCAACTACTATTTTTGAGCGTTATGCAGATGTGAAACTCTTAAAAGTAGCTGAAACTAGATTTGGTTCAAAAATTGTGATGGCCACAAGGATACAAAGGTTGTAAGATACTTTTGAAAAAACTGTGATGGACCCCGATTGGAAGAAATTTAAGGTGAATGGGATGAATCCCATTGAACTTAAAGCTAGAGAGATGAAAGATTTGTTGGTTAGTGATGCATGGTGGGATCAAGTTGATTATCTACTCAAGTTTACAGAGCCAATGATGAATTTTTTGAGGGCCGCTGACGTGGACTCTTCGGTGTTGCACTTAGTGTATGATATGTGGGATACTATGATAGAAGAAGTCAAGAAAATTATGGACTCTTCGGTGTTGCACTTAGTGTATGATATGTGGGATACTATGATAGAAGAAGTCAAGAAAATTATTTTTGAGCATGAAGGTGTCGACTTAGTGTCAGGTCAGTCAAGTTTTTTTGATGTAATTCAGCATGTCATCGAGTCAAGATGGAACAAGAGCAACACACCACTACATTATATGGCACACTCATTAGTTCCTAAGTACTACACTGAAGAATGGCTTCAAGGAGGTGGAAACAACATTCGAAGAGTTGCTCCAAATGAAAATGAAGAGGTCTCAACAAACAGAAACAAGTGTCTACATAGGCTTTTCCCCAATTCAGATGATGCTCGAAGAGTCTTTTTAGAATATGGTACATTTTCTGACAGTTTAGGGAACTTCAGCGAGCCTCACGTCATGACAGCCAGGGCATATGAAGACCCTTTGTCATGGTGGGCTAACTATGGCTCCACAACTTCATTGTTGCAGAGCCTAGCTTTTAAACTTCTTTCACAGCCTGCTTCTTCTTCTTGTTGTGAGAGGAACTGGAGCACATTTGGATCCATTCAAACTGTGAAAAGAAATAGGCTGACATCTAAAAGGTTGGAAGATCTTGTTTACATTCACAACAACTTAAGATTGCTTTCTCGGAAGCAAAAAGAATACACTGATGGTCCATCCAGATATTAGGATATTAGTAAGATTTTGTTATTTGCTTTTTATAAATTATAATTAGTGTATTATTAATTTAAACCTTGTAACTATTGTTATTGTTTGCTTTTTTTTGTTTAGGGGGAGGCACTATGGATGGTGATAGCATATTGGAAGTTACTAAGCTTTCCCTAAATGAACCTGAGATCGAAGCCATTTCTTTTGACTTATGAGCTTAAGTTGTTGGCTGATGAGCTTTCCCTAAATGAACCTGAGATCGAAGCCATTTCTTTTGACTTATGAGCTTAAGTTGTTGGCTGATGCTAGAGACGATTTGATGTTGTGAATCGAAGCCATTTCTTTTGACTTATGAGCTTAAGTTGTTGGCTGATGCTAGAGACGATTTGATGTTGTGAAAGTGTTTTTTTTTTACTTTTTATGCACTTGATTTCCATTGGACCTTTGATATTTGGTTTTCCATTGAACCTTTGATTGTTAAATGTTTTAACTTTCTAATTTTAATGCACTTGATGCAATTGTTTTGCAGAATATATTTTTAAAGTTTAATATTTTTATTGTCGTATCCCCGTACTCGTGTCGAAATTTAGGACGGTGTCCCCGTATCCAAAATTTTTAGAAATTACGTACCGAACACTCGGATCCGTACCCGTATCGGATACTCGTACCCGAGTCCAGGTAACATAGCAGGAGTACCATGGAGTCTGAATTAATTGCACTTGATACCACTTGCACAGAAACAGAATGGCTAAAAGATCTACTCTCTGAACTGTTTTTAGTCCCTAAACCTTCCTCCAATTTCTATTCACTCTAATTCTAGATCCACCATAGAGCTTCTAAAGTAAGTACATATGCATAAAAAATTTAACATGCATATTTAAATAAGATATAAATCTGTACAATGCCTGCTAGACAAAGTTGTGATTCTAGACTTTGTATAGTCTAAAAAAAATCTTGCTGATCCATTGACTAATGGTCTATCCAGGAGTGTTGTTCTGGATTTATCGAGGGAGGTGGGGTTAAACCCATAGATGAGGTCACTGACAGCGGGAACCTAACCTTTATTTGGAGACACAGTCCCAATATAGGTTCAATGTGATAGAAATAAGCTGGATTAGTGACACTCGTGTGGAGCATCGACCTAGATATATATTCATATATCATTATAATAGCATCTGCTACTACCCCTTCTCTATGATGACGATGCTCTTATGATACAGCTGGTTAGATTGAGTTTTACTCTTAATAAGTCCAACACATATATTGTGGAGGGTATGATATACAGCTGTAGTATCCTTGGAGGACTTACCTACGTGAGAGGAACCGTGATGACCACGGTTGGAAGGGCAGGGCTAACCCCTAGAAACTCTCATGAGTCGGTTATTGTGAGCATGTTCTTTAACGCTTAATCCGCTTTACTTAATAGATGAAGACGTATTGTGTATGATTTCATAATACCTGGTACAATGAGCCTAATTCAAGGCCTAGTCCATTATGTCCCTCAGGTTACGATGAACCCACTAAAGAAAGGTTCATAGCCAAAAGCTACCTCTCTTGAATTCACGACACGTAAGGTTATCCAACCTATATTTATTTTGTGATTCATTGATTTATTTTAATTACCCGAGTTTTTAGTCAATATTACCTTTTTTTTTTTTGGGGGGGG